CGGCATGGATTGAGGCGGGAAGGGCAGACCGCCTGTCACCCCATCTCCGGGGCAACGAGGAACGCCTGGCCAGGAGCACCACAGCCATTTCACCACCACGTTTGGGTTCACACTCCAGGAGAGTGGACCCTTCGACGGGGAGGCACCAGTGTCTGTGCCCAGGTGAAGTTAACCCGCCAAGCAGGCCAGCTTGCAAAACACACCGAAGCCAGAGCCTACGCTGGTTCTGGAAGAGCTGCCCTGGTGTGCTGGGCACGGGCGCAGAAAGCCTGGAGACCGTCAGCTTCACCAGGTTGTTCTGAGTCCCTCACCGTGCACAGAAGACGCCAGTGAGCCATTGAACGCACAGGCCTTCACGGGCGCTCCACTCTCTCCCGTCTTGCGCACAGAAAGAAAACTCAGAAGAAAAGAACACTTGGACCAACTCTGACGTAAACTGGGTTTCAAGAGCCCGTGGTCCTCCGGCCTGGCTAGAGGCTACCGTCTGGACCAGTATTGGGCCCCACTTTCTGTCAACACCAGCTACGAAAACCAGTGTATTTCTTTGCATTGCACAAAAATAATCAGTGAGCAGTGCAAACCTGACTGAAACTTTGGAAGCAAATTGGAGGAAAGCCACAGGAAATGGCTTTATGCCTCTCCTGGACATTTCTGCCCCCCCCCCCAGTCCCTTCTCTGTGTCCCCCCTTTCCGGGCCTACCCGATCCCACACAGCCCCAGGCTTGCTGGCTCCCCTCTGTTTCTCCTTCCTGAGAACGGCCTGAGTTCAAGTCCTGACCCTGCCATTTATCGGTCTGTAAACGTGGCATGCTACCTAACCTCTCTGGGCCTCAGTTTCCTCGTCCTTAAAGTGGGGATAATAACAGGACTTCCTCCGAAGGTCGCTGGCGACGGTGAGTTAATACATGTAAAGAGCCTGGAACAAAGCCTGGCACACAGTTAGCCTTCGTGAATCTCTTGCGGTTATTTTTAGGCAGAACAGGTTAGCAACCACCTTCTGTGAGGGGAGCAAGGCTTAGGGCCTGCTCTACCCCAACTGGCCTGTCACACTTCCTAACGAGAAGGCGGCCTTCTCTGAGGGAGCTTTTGGTGACTGAATGTCGTTCCTGTGCTTCTTCATCTTTGGGGCCGTGCTGACGAGGCCACAATCCAGGCTGCCTGGCCGCCGTCCCCGGGAAGGAGGCCGTGGGTGGACCTGGGCGTCTCGGGGAAGGCTGTGTGTTGAGGAAACCGAGATTACTTCCCCACCCCCCCCCCCCCCCCCCCCCCGCCCCCCCCAGCTGGCTGGACGAGGCAGCACATGTCTGCCCCTCCTCCAGGAGGGAAGCCAACTCTAGTGTGCTACAGTGGGAACGCCACCCCACTGGGCAGACTGTGTTCCCAACCACGCTGGGCCATTGTTCTGGTTCTGCCTGTGTGGCCTGAGCCAGGGGAGGCTGGCCCTGCTGACTCCTGGCTCTTACATCGGGGGGACCCCCATCCCCAAAGGTAAGTATCTCTTTTCTGTAGCATAAAGCGCCTAACAGGTGCACTGGTGCCACGTGGGGGTGCTGTCCTGGCCGGAGAGGAGGGCGCAAGCTAGATGGCCTCTTAGTATGCCCATCCCAGCTGGGCCGGATGCCCCCTCCAGCCTCCCCTGCGGTGGGACTGAGTGTGGTCAGGTGAGCACGACGGAGGCCCCATCTAGAAGAGCACGCTGTCGCTTGTGTTTCCAAGCCCCCTTGCCCCAAGACGGCAGAGCTGCCTGGGGCCTTCCCCCTCCGGCTCTCAGGGCCCAAGATGGGCCTCCAGGCCTCCCTAAAGCGGGGTTCTCTGAGCTGCTGAGGAGAGGCCTGAGCTTTCCTGCCCGGTGGCAGGTGGGCGGTAGGGCTGACCTCTCTGGAGGAAATGCGGGTTTGCGAGGCCTGGGGTGAACGTGTGCTCTCATCACGTGGGTGGCACTGAATTGCAGCCTTGTCTTTGGGTGCCTTCCTCACCCCCCTCTTCGTTTCATTTAAATAGTCAAATCCTGTTCTCTTTCCTGAGCACCAAGGCCACTGGGGAGGTTGTACTCAGTTCCTGGTGCTCCGAACACAGCTGCCTAAACCAGCCGCTGGAGGCCCCCTGCTGTCCCCTCACTCAGCAGAGGGGACTGGGGACAGGCTCCAGGCAGTGGGCACAGGCAGAATGAGGCCTGCGCACGCAGGGCCACGAGGTCTCTTTCTGTGGATATTTCTAGAGCAGGAGGGGAGTCTTGGTGGTCTCCTCCTGCAGTCCTGGCTCACTTTGAGAGCCCTGACCCCACACCTGCACCAGCTGGGTCCCCGTACTCCCAGCTGACTTCCAGAGAGACAGCAGAGGGGCGAAGCCTGTCGCTTGTGAAACCGAGGACGTTTCGCCCGGTTGCTTTTCACCCCGCAGGCCGTGGACAGGACGGCGTGGGGCAAGGTTTGCACCGGGCCACGGGGAACAGAGAAAACTAAGGATGGTGGGCTTTGCTTCCCAAGAGGTTAAATCTATTCGATTTAAAGGACTGGTGTTTGCTTTGTTTTTTTGTTTGTTTGTTTGTTTGGTTTTTTGTTTCGTTTTTAACGTTTATTTATTTTTGAGAGAGAGAGAGAGAGAGAGAACATGAGCAGGGGAGAGGCAGACAGAGGGGAGACAGAGAATCCCAAGCAGGCTTTGTGCTACCAGCACAGAGAGCCCGATGCAGGGCTCAAACCCACGAACCATGAGATCGCGACCTGAGCCGAAATCAAGAGTCAAACTAAGCTTAACCAACTGAGCCACCCAGGCACCCCTGTTTTGTTTTGTTTTTAAGAGTACACTCTTCCTGCTTTTCGGTGTTAAACGATGCTTTCTTCCATGAAATGAGCCTTTGGAAGGTCCAGTTAGTTGTCACCCATTTAGTCAGTTTTTCATTTTTAAATCTCCTCCATTGGCAAAATGAAAGGTGGCAGCAGGATTGTGTCTCACAGGTTTGGGGACAGTTTGGTGGTCCCTGGCATCCCACAGCCTGGAGTGGCTCCTGAGCCTGAGGGAAGGATGGCTTCCCTTGAAAAGCAGAGGGGCTCGGGGAGCCCCGGGCCTGGCCGAAGGGCAGGGTTCCCAGGGAAGAATCCAAGCCCTGGGGTCTAGACCTGAAAGGGTTCCGAGGACAGGAACTTGATGACAAGTCCAGGCCTCGGTGAAGAGGACAGTAGACAGCTGGGCACCACGGGCGCCCTCCCTAAGATGCAGACCCCGAACTCTCTACAGCTCTGAGAGTCACTCCATGCAGAAGAGGGGCCGGGGGTGGGGGAGGAGGAGCGGAGGAAGGACTACGGGAAACCAGGCCTGGATCCCAGCCTGCCGCCAGCTAGTAAGGGCAGTGGAGACATAGGCCTCACCCTCTCGAAGCTCCTTCCGCTCACTTGCAAACTCAGGGGTCATCGGATGAGAGGTTCCCAAGGCCTCCACTCAGCCCCGGCTCTGGCCTCCATCATGCTGCCCGTTTGGAGTCAGAGATTGCATTGTAGCCGGGGCACAATCAGAGCCCCTTGACCAGAGGGCTGCTGCACCAGTTAGCCCTGGAAGGTCTCAGCGGGGGCTCAGCACACAGCGAACACCCAACAGAATCGGCCGCCCACTGGGGCAGGAGACCGGTCCATGCGGGCCCAGCGGAGTCAATTTGGAGTCTCCCCACTATTTCCCAGGCCCTGTTGGTGGGTCCCCACGGGGGCACTGCCTGTGGGGAGGTCCTGGGTCCCCTCCCCTGAGTGTGAGACTGGGGGGCATGGGAAGCTGGCCTTGGGAGGTGGGCCTCTGGTGCCATCAACACTCAGGCCTGTTTAGGAGCATTTTCTAATACTCCCAGCTGGTCCTCGTAGACACCTTGGCTTCTCCTGCCGTATCACCCGGAACCTAGGCTCACAGCTTGACAGGGTGAGGAGGGGGGTGGCCTGGGTGCAGCCTCTGGGGTCAGATGGCCCTGGCTTCGACTGTCGTCCGTCGCTTAACCCATCCGAGCCTCAGTTTCCTCAACTGCAAAGGAGGGGGGTGACACCAGCACCTGCGGTTCAGGTTGCCGTGGGGACGAAATGAGATAACGCCCCGACAAGTACATACGCTTAATGCTCAAAACGGGTCTGTGTTCAGTGACCTGCCTCCCTGCTGCCTGGTCACAGGGAACTTCCTGCAAGCCCGGGGATGCTACCTGAGAGGTGCAGGGGGACAGCCCGTCCCCTGCTGTACCCTGGTACTGCCCTAGGCCGTGCAGGGATGCTTAGATGCCAGGGCTGCAGGGCTGAGGGCCTTCTTCAGACATGGGTCAAGAAGGGTGTTTTAAAAAGGAACCTCCAGCAAGTGGCTGGTTCCTCCATTGTTAAGAGAACCAGAGCATTGGGCGATCTCCCGGAGCCGGGAGTGAGGTGAAGTGGGTAGATGAGGGTGGCCGAAATGGGTGGGGGACACAGCCCGGTGCCGGGGTGAGGAGGGAAGAGGCTCTCCCCGTCAGTGATGGTGACTTCCTCTGCTCTCAGGGCCCCGAATGCAACTTCTAGGTGAACTGAAAGGTCCTTCTTGCGCGAACCCACCCCACATTCTGGCTCCCGAACAACGGCGTCCTCCGGGGACCCAAAGCCTGGGCGCCAGAAGGGTCCCCGCTCGCCACGCCTGCTCCCCAGAGGTCTGCACCAGGGTCTCCGGGCTGGGCATCTGTGACCCACACCTGAGCTGAGCCAGCCGCTGTCTAACACGGGCACCACCTTGGAGCCCCGAGCTCCCGCCTGCCTCCCAGAGCCTGGAGACCCTCGACCCGGCCCCTGCCCCCGCCGCTCGTGTGTGACCAGGCCCAGAGTGGCTCTGGGGGGGTCCGGCGCTGAAAAACCTGAGCTCCAAGGCCATGCAGGCCCACAGGGGGCCTCAGCAGGACCCACCAACAAATCCGGGCAGCACACAAGTGGGGCCCACGCATCGCGTGACCTGAAGCCACCCTGTCCCCCCGCGGGCCGCGCCTCCTCCCGTGGGCCCGGCGCACTTACAGCACGCAGAGCGCGTAGGCCTTGGAGATGGACTCGCTGGCACGCACGAGGAAGCTCCCGTCCTTGCCCGTCCTGGACAGCAGCTCCTCGGCCTTGGAGCGGGTGATGTTGCCATGGTTCCAGCAGGGGACCATGGCGGCCACGGGCCTCCCCGGGCCGGGCGGGCGGCCACCCCAGGACCCACACGCCACCGAGGGGAGCTGAGGCCCCCGCACCGCGAGCCGCCGTCGGTCCCCTCTCGGTTGCCCCGCTGCTGCCACCAGCTCCCTGCCCGACTTCCTGTTTCAGGAGCTCAGCGAGGGAAAGGAAGCCAGCAGCGGCAGAGAACTTCCTCATTGCGGAGACCGGCCGGGGGAGGCCGCGCTCCACCTTCCCACCCCGCCCACCCGCCGGCCGCCCCTCCCGCTGCCCCCCCAAGGCCTCCCCGGGGCGGCAGCTGGGTCGTCGTCGGGGTCAGGAGGCTCACGGCCGGCTTCCGGAGAAGCGCGGCCTGGCAGGTGGACGGGCAGGACAGTGGCCACTGGAGGCCTGTCTGGATGCTCACGTGGGATGGCCACGCCCTGGCCGGATCCCTCGCCTTGGGCTTTACCCTACTCCAGGGGCTACTCAGCTGGGACCACCGCCTGCCCCCCAGGGCCAGGCGAGATTGAGGGAGAGGGGAGCAGTGGAGTCCCCTCCCAATGTGAGAGACTCAGGAAACCACCACACAGCCTTGGGTGCTGGAAGGACCTTGAGGGACACCACCCTAGGGCTCCAAGGGCCCAGGTGACAGCTCTGTGACACGTTTGCACTCGTCCCCAAGCGCCGGTGGGTGTGAAGGAACCCTGTTCTCCATGGCGGTCCAGCTTAGCCACACATGAAGCGGGTGGAGGGCTTGGGGACGTTGACCCTGCACAGAGAGAATGCGGGCTGGGTTTTCCCCTCTGGGTCTTTCCAGGATGCTCGGAAATGACACTTCCCCACAGGCTGACCACCTGGCCAAGGATGAAGAACATGGCTTCCGGTGCCCTTTATCCCAGGAGAGTCGGGGTGGCCAGTGGAGCGCCTCCAGGCTGCCATGGTTGCACTTGCCGGTGGCTCAAAGGAGAGCTGCCCCCATGGGGCCACCATCCCGGACCAGCAGATTCTGAGGGCTCCAAAGCAGACGTCCACTCGTGGGGTGCACTCCGTTCTTGGGTCAGGCCCAGCAGGGTCAAGGGGTGCTGCTGACCCATCGCACAAGGCGGTGGTGCCCCCCCATCCCACACCCAGGCCTCGCCCCACCCCCCAAGACATGACAAGAGACCCCCTCCAGAGGCCCGAGCTCAGTGAGCCTCCGTCTGAGGCCCCCAGCTCTACATCGGAGCTTCAGGAGCTGATCAGACGTCTTTCTCTCAGCTGAGGTTTCCTCTTTTCTATCTTGAGGAAATAACCCCTAACGGAGCTTGCCTGTGCTGAGGAGCCCTTAGCACCTCCACCTGCATGGACCTCCACACGGCAGGTGATTCTGAACAAGTATGTCCTGTTTCTGAGGCCAGAGTGTGGCCTCTGGGCTCCAGGTGACGTTCCTTCTGGAAACTCCGGCTCAGTGAACTCCCCAGTGCTCACTCCCACCTCCCTAAGCCACTCTGAGCTTCCTCTCCCCTGACCTCTGACCCTGCCCGGCTCCTCCCACTGGACTAACAACTCAACTCCCAAACTCTCAGGACATAGGAAGCAAGGGTCCTCTGGACAGGCCCTGAGCTAGGCGTGGGGACAAGAGCTGGCCTCCACACTCCAGCCTTCTGGAAGCCAGCTCTACACTCCCATCACCACCATTTAGCACCCTTCTTGCCTCCCTGCTGACCCTCCAACAACCTCCTCCTTGGTCTCAGCCTCAAGGCCCCTTGGTCTCTTTAGGGCCCATCAGAAGGATCCGTCTGCAGTCCTGACCCCTTAGTACCTTGACCAGACCCTCCACCACGTCCAAGACTCTTGCACTTAATCACGGCCTTCCTGCCACTTTCTCCAGCTTCCCACACTCCCTCTCTCAGGCCTCTGTCCCTACCGAGTCCTGCCTTTCAGCGGAGTCGGGGGGCCAGTGGGACCACCTTTGCCCTTTACCCCTGTGATTTCCCTTGGACACACAGGACACATACATGACACACGCATTTCCCTAATTTTTAAGGCCCATCCCATTTCTACTTCCATCCAACCCAGCTGCCTGAGCCATCTGACATGGTCAGCTTCCTGGTCCCCCTGTTCAGAAAACCACAACACTTAGACCAGGGCTGCCCTCTCAGCGGGTGGGTGGGGCCTGGGTGAATATTTTTTGCGGGGCCCCTGTCTATATAAACAACGTACTAAAACTTTGTATTATAAAATTCATGCACCCACGTGAGGTACAGTGACTTATCATTGAAGATTTAGTATAATGGATAGAGAGGAGGTAATTATCTACGTGTTCAGTGTCCAGTCAGTGCACTGAAGAGTCTTTTGTGACGTCCAGGCTCTTGCTTCCTGTTCAGACCCTGTATTTTAGTGTCTTGGGTTCACGGAAGCCCTTTGCTGTACCTCAGGGCTCCCCACGGCCCACCAGCCTGGGCAGACAGTCACCCACTGATTCCTACTGGAGGGCAAAGGAATGAAGGAGTGAAGGAAGTGTTGACTCACTGAGTCACCAAAAACAAAGGGAGCCGTGATAGTCAATTTTCTGCAACTTGGCTGGGCCGTTATTCTAGATGTCTCTGTGAAGATACTTTTAGATGAGATTAGTATTTATTTTATTTAAAAATTTTTTAGATTCTATTTTTTAAGTAGCCTCTGCACCTAACGTGGGGCTCAAACCCACAACCCCAAGATCAAGAGTTGCATGCTCTGCCAACTGAGCCAGCCAGGCGCCCCAAGGTTAGTATTTAAATCCGTAAACTCTGAGTAAAGCAGATTACTCTCCATATGTTGGGTGGGCCTCATGCAATCAGTTGAAGGCCTTTATAGAAAAAGACCGAGGCTCCCAT